CTACTACTACTACTACTACTACTACTACTACTACTACTACTACTACTACTACTGATATTAATAACATCCATATAGCGCATATTATTTATGCCACGCTCTATAGCATGCTCTATGCACTTTACAACTACATGTATTACCACCCAAGTAGAGCCTCTGAGAACACTCAGAAACATTCTCGGCTTCCTGGGAAGCATACAGTGCAAGCTGCGGATTTCACGAGCTCACTGACGCCCCAGATGACGCTCTTCTTTGCCGTTGCACGCTGAAGACGAGAGTTCGATGCTCGTCCATTTTTTGGGCACTCTTAACCCGAATCCTAACTTTATGTGACACATCACAGGTAGACGTGGCCTGGTACCTGTGCTGGTAAGGAATAAGAAGCGTGCCGTTGGCAATCACAGAAACCTAGTGACATTAGTTTTTAGTTTGTTGTATTTTTTGTGTTTTTTTTGTTGTCGTTTTTTGTTTTAATGTTTTGGGGTGATTTTTTTCCAAAGTGCTGAAGACTAGAAGTGCTACTATAGACTAACATACCAAGAAAAGAATGAAAGAAAAGGACGAGGGGTGTTTGCCAAGAAAGAATGAGCAAACCACACCTTAGCACCCTCCAACCACCCACTCTGTAACGTTAGATGGAAGGACTTCCGTAACTAGCGACCACCTCAACAAACACAATAAAGGAGACCTTTTAACTTTAACCCTGTCCCTATACCTACCCCTACCCCAAACCAAACCTAAACCCTGAAGCCCTAACCTTGCCTTAACCCTAACCTCTATTCTACACTCTATTTCATAGAAGTCGCTAGGTACGGAATTTCTCCCTATTAATATTAGAAAGTGTAGAAAGAGTCTCGTTCAGATACAAACAGTAGGAGTAATGCTGTGGGTGTATGTTTTACGTTAAATATGCATGGCAGCTGTATTCTACCTGTAACCGATTAGGATAACAGTGCCATTGCAAATACGTAGGAATACAATTCTCTGTCCGTCGGTCTGTCTGTCTCTCTCTTTCAGTTTTAGTAAGAGTTATAAGGCACTTGAAACAAAATAAGCTCATATAAGTGCCGAACATTAGAAGTGTTACAAGAGAGTAACAACAAACACAAAAAAGGAGGAAAGAAAAGGACGATAGATGTTTCATAGGAAAGAAGGAGCAAACACACCAGAGCACCCGCCAACCCCCCCCCCCCCTCTCTCTCTCTCTCTCTCTCACACACACACACACACACACACACACACACACACACACGCACACACACACACACACACATACAAACAAAAACCCCCCACACAAAACAATACAAGGGGGATTACTTCATTGGTGCCATCTTCGATCTGCTGCCGAAGGATCGCGTCCTCGCTGAGAGGCTCCGTCTCACCTCCTCCCTCCTCTGCTGGCGCCGCCATACCTCAGGCCTCACAAGCACTGACCCGGGCCCAGAACAACAATGAAACCGCTTACTCCAGGAACGAGTCTCTGTTTTTCTTTTATCTTTAATGTTCTTTCTTCCTCACCAACAACAGCCTATTTTTTCTTCTTCTCTTTCTTTCCAGACGCACTGTCAAATGAGAATGTTATTTTCCTTTATCCCAGCCGACACGCAGGGTCGGCTATTTATGGCTGCCCGGCTAGTTGGTTGGGGACAACAGGCCCGAGGAGATCAATTTATCTAGAAGGAAAAAAACCCACAAAAAAAAAACCCAACAGTAAAAAAAACAACAACACAAAAAAACTCCCACTCAAGAGAGAAGAAAGAATGCGAGCCTGAAAGCCCACACGTTACAACGGCCCCGTTTCACACGCAGCAATACTCCAGATAGGAAATAAGAAGAAAGGCGGCGTTGTCACTGATCAGTTCCACACGCGACGGCTCCGGATAATGGCGAATAAGTAAGTTCACGTCCAAGAGTGAAGAAGTACCGCCATAAACGAGGTGGTGGGGGAGTGCGTGCTGTGGGGATCACATCTCATGGCTGCTCACGTTGTATGTGTCTCACGCAGCGGCCAGTGAATAGTTCAGAAACGACTGACTGACTGACTGCCTCTGGTCCAATGCGAATTATCCAAAGGTTACAAAGAACAGTACTGGTCTTCGCAAGTTGCTGAATAGTACAACATAAACAATATATGTATCACAGAATACTCAATAAAGAAGTAAAGAGCTATTCAACCGGCACTTCCACGAATATAATATAAGCCACTGAAAAGACAAGCGATATCCTCGTGCCATAGAATCACACAGCAGAGTCAATTCACAAAACATTAGCACTTCTCCGCAGCTAATTGGACAGCACGACATACATTCGAAGAAAGACCGGAAAAGTAAAGAGACTAAACCATCATTCTGACCCCCACCTACCCAGCCACCCACCCACACACACCTGCTATTGTACATAGGAAATCAATTGTTCCAAACTTAACTTAAAAAAATAAATCAAATGAGGTACATGTAGCAGAAAAGAAAACAAAAAGCACACACACGAAGTCCATCAACCATCTGGAGGTACAAATGAACACTGCATAGCCGTTGGTACTGTAAACAGGATGTTTCAAAGATGGTCGATTCGCATAGAATGTTTACACACGATAGATCTACGATCAGTAGTAAAAGAAATTAATCTTCTAAAACGAACAAATAAATGATTTAAACAACAAAACTTGGGAACCTTCCAAAGCTAGACCAAGTCCAAGAATCGTATGGTCCGTCAGGGCCTCGAACCAGAACAATCAGTAGTGCAATCCAGCGTGGCAACAGCAGAGCTTAAGGAACGCCTTAGCATCCTTCACGAACAAATGCCACTGACACTAAATCAATTTTAAAAGAAGCGAGGTCGAGCCAGTACAGACAGACCAGAGCGCAACTAACTGGCAGGTAACAACCAGTCACATAACAAGCATCCAACAGTGAGTGCCCTTGAGACACCGCATGCACGCCACGGTATTCAGAGAGAGTTGGAGAGCCAGAGTGTACTGTTGTTGTAGGCATGTGTAACGTCCGCTTGTGCTTGAGTGTACGCGTGCATAATTATGTATGTTGTGAGGCCGTGAGTACGCACAGGCTCCCGTGTGTGTGTGTGTGTGTGTGTGTGTGTGTGTGTGTGTGTGTGTGTGTGTGTGTGTGTGTGTGTGTGTGTGTGTGTGAAGGTGTTTGTGCGCAGGTGTGTGTCCCTTTGTGTATGTGTGTACACACTCCATACGCGGGCGAGCGGGCACGTGTATGTGTTAGCTTTCAGTTTTGGGATCGAGAAAAGAGAAGCGCATAAACGCAATAACGGCCATATTATGCCAGGAGGAAGCAAGATAAAGATTTAAAAAAACAACCCCAGAAAGAAAAAGAAAAGTAGGACCCACCAACAGCGCCAGCCAAACACCTAGTCCATAATGACTGGTGTCAACAGATGTCTTAGAAAATAATGCACGACAACATTACGCCAACAACTAGACTATAATAGAAACGGCCATCCAAGGGAGTAAAAAAAGAGTAAGGCCCCTTGCGATCACCCCCAAATAACACTAGACCTATGCGTATTCGTGTGGGGGCGAGAATTCGGGTATGAAAGTCGTGTGTGTTCGTGGAAAGCGCAAAGACAGGGATCTGTGTGAGGGGTGGGGGGGGGGGGGGTGTAATTATGAATACTTTCCGCGTGAGTGAGTGCCCATTTGTCTGTTGGAGTCTGATAGCCGTGGACCCCGGAGACTTTCACGATGCACTACCCGCGTTCGCCAACCTCTCGGGGGAATACCCCGGACTAGGCCTACAAAGCCGCCAGTCAAGAACATTGCCAGGAGGAGTTACAACGGCGCGGGACACGGCACTAACATGACTACTACAATACACAGACAGCTTCATTAGCTTTGGCATCGCGTCCACAACGAAACGGTGACGTCATACTTGGGCGGCATGGCGGTTTGGAGCTGCGGGGGTACGATGCAGTGACCTTAGCACTCTATAACCTCCTTGGGTACGATGGCATACGTAGTCGCTGATCGTATTTCTCACGTGGTTCAAGAGAATCAGCTTATGATATTATAAAATACATGTACATTGTACTTTTTATTATTAAAAAATTTACGACATTTGCAACACAATAAGGTCATAATGAAGTCGAGGATTAGAGGTGTTACAAGAGGGTAACAAACATAAACAAGTAGAAGGAGAGATACATACTATAGATGTTTGACAGGAAAGAAGGAGCAAAAAAACACCAGAGCACCCGCCAACCATCCACATAAATATAATCTGAGTTGGAGGTTGAGTAAAGAGAAGCACGCCGACACAGGACTGGTCATTTAGAGCTTGAAAAAAAAAGTAAGACAGAAAGAACAGAGAGAAAGTAAAGAAGTAGGACTGGACCTCCCAGTGGCGCCCTCCATCTACCCGCTAATATGAGATGCATACGGTGTATTATTATTATTACGGTACAAAAAGTGCGGTGTGGAATTACATGGTACGGCATGGGAATGACGTCAGCTGCAAACACATTATAAAGGTGTAATCTCTGTATTTTAAGATATAAATAAATAGAAAATAAATTAAAATGCACCATTCACCCTGATTAGATCTGAAACGTGTAGGATTACTCAAGTCAAAGAATGGCACATGGACTATTCCAACCATGGCTGATGAAAAACGGAAAGACACCAATTATCCACGTCGTCCACGATTTGAACTGGATTTAAAGTTGTTTTTTTTTCAATTTAAGTGGGGTTCTCTTCGCTCAACCGACAAAAAGTACAGTTATGGAATACCAGAGTTTAGAAATTCAAAAATAAAGGGACAAAAGGAACAAACGGAAACATTAAAAGACAAAAAAAACACGGGTGAGGGATGAGAAGCAGCAGCAGCAGCAGGAAGAGGAAGAGGAAGAGGAAGAGGAAGAGGAAGAGGAAGAAGGGTAGGTTGAGGAGGATAAGAGGAAAAGAATTGGATGCGCTGGGGAGGAGGAGGAGGAGGAGGAGGATAAGAGGATGATTAGGAGGAGGAAGAGTACGAAGAAGAGGGGGGGGGAGGAGAAAGAAGAGGAGAAAGAGTAGGAGGAGGAGGGGATATGAGAAAGACAAGATTGATGAGGAGTAGAAAGAGAAGGAGGAGGAAGATGGGTAAAAGGAAGATCAGGAATAGGAATATGAGGAGGAGTAGAAGGATGAGATGGAGGAGGGAGAGGAAGAGGTAGAGGAGACAAAGAGGAGGAGAACATCGTGAACAAAAACCACTCCCCCCAATAAAAAACAAAAACAAAAAAACAAAAAACAAACAAACAAACAAACCAAGAGCAATAAGAAGAAGAGAGAAGATAGATGCGCGAAACTCCCAGAGGCGCAGTAAGTAAGACGGTTAGCCACTTCTGGCGGGAAACAGAGACGACGCAGACAGACCCGGCACTACGGATGCAAATTGTAACGGAAGGATCGTCGCCTGGGGAAAGCTCATTACACCCAGACTGCAGGATACGAGCCCCGTTTTTCTCCAGAGACGAACGCCCTCGAGTTCAATACTCTTCGATTACAGGTTACACAAGACACTTCAAAGGCTGAGAGAAATCGCAATTTACACTTCTTATGCCGCCCAATGATTGCTGTATTACTGGTTTCACCTTTGATCTTTAAAAAACAAATAAATAGAAAAGTAAAATAAAACAAAATAAACCCACAAAAATGGCAAGCGACATCCTTACATGACGAGATTTTTTTTAAACCGTAAAGCGCGGATTCCACGACCTCTCCTTTTCCTACACATATATATGGGTGAAAAAAAAACCCTGAATCAATTATTCGCTTATTCTGCATGCAGTATTTACCCTGTGGGAACTACGGCTTTTACTTTCCGCCTTTCAGTGTCAATAAAAAGCAAGCAGCTATCAATTATAGCTGTAGCCTGAACGAGTGGGTGCAACAGGGAAAAAACCCAACACACTTCATGTATGGTATACAGCACTGATGGGACATCTCGAATTTTGAGGATGGTTGGCACGAAGTATGAAAAAAAGGGGAAAAGAAAGGGATAGAAGAAGGATCAAACTTTTAATGGACCTCTTTTGTGGATAAGCTAAGTGCGGAAGCAAAAACACGACACAATCGCTAAATCAATATCCGTTTATACCTCAAATTAAATTTCATTTCAGTTTTCAGGTATGAAAATGCTACATTATAGACGCCTCTTTTGAACACAGAAAGGTCATTGAACCTATGGGAGCTCAGATTCAACATGATCCTTTGTTCTCCTCTTCACCCCACCCCCCAACCTTAAACCCAGGCAAAAAAAAGCAAATTCCATAACAATATACTAATGTACTAATGTCATTAAAAAGGTGGGACCTCAGATTCAACAAAATCCTGCATTCTCTACAAAAACTCTCTCACCCCCC